AAACATGAACAGGCTAGAAAATGTTGTCTGTAACCTAGTCCCACACGTCCCACCCTGTCCCTGTCTCCCTGAATATCAGCAGTCTTTGTTCTGGACAGGGTTTTTTTTCTGGAGGGTGGGGTGTTGGCTTCAGCCCTTAGAGCTCCATGAATCTTTGGGTGCCCACTTCTCTGTATTGTTTGCACATATGACTGGTGCTTTGGGACTCGTGAGGTTCAGACAGATGAACTCTGGACCTCCCAGGAATAGTTTTGTTTGTATCTGTGAAGCTGAAGTCATAATATTTTTGAGATGGTTTGGAAAAGCAGTGGGGATGTTTAAAAAACACCAAGGCAATTCCAAACTAAATTCTAAAATGAAGAATGAGCTGGGAGCAAGTTGAAGATGGTGGTATAAGGCATCTGATGCCTGCAGATGTGTTTACGACTGTAGTTTCCCTTACCCAATTCTTAAAGAAACTTGAGAAGTATGGATTTTCTGCTGAATATGATGTATTTTCTTACAGAACCCTCTCCTAGGGCTGGTTTAATCTGAATTTTGAACTTGATTAGCATGAAAGAAAACTAATGTCTGGAAATGGTCTTTCTCTCTTTTCCTTCTCTTAAACTGGTTCAATTTAGGCTAATCTGTTATCATAGACAGTTACTTCACCAATCCCTTGTTTCTTATCAATGCTGGTGATATGAAGCTAATAGCTTGTTGATGTAAGTTATAAAATCACACTCCCTCCTTTCGTGTCATTATAATGTTATGTCCCATTGGAGCAGAGATGTGTGACTTTGGCAAAAGATAGGAGGAAAAAATAAAAGGATACTGTTGATTATTCTCTGCCACTATTTCAATCTCTCTTTTAAAAGAGTTTATTCAAGCCAATTACCTTTTTCTCCTTTATCTTTTAAAACAAATGTTGTTTCTTCTCCCTTAAATTTATTTTGGGCTGTGCATGTGTGTAACTTTATTTAATGGTAAGATTGTCATCAGTTTGATCTACTTCTTTGTACTAAAGCAGGTACTATGCCAAAGAGCTTTTTTTAAAAAGCACAGTCTGAAGTCTTGATTAACATCTTAGGGTATGTTAATCTCTTAGCTAATCTTTTGAAACAAGAAGGCCTCATTCTTTACTATTTAACTTTGAATTTATACCTTTGGCCTGTCAAGGTCGCCAGACTTTTCTCACTTCTCTGGAACAGGAAAGAAAAGATTTGAAATGTTTCATCTGTTGTTCAGATCAAGCTCTTTAGTTTTTGTTTTGTTTTGTTTAAATCTGTTTGTTTTTAGTACTGCTGAAACTAAAATGTTCCAAATGCTTGATGTTAAAATTTTCTGGTTCACCTAGTTGCTAATGTCTTCAGTATTGCTCTGTCAGATTCATTCCATTAAAATGACGGGGCAAGCATTGAGAGAAGTGATCATTGAAAAGCAGAAGAACAAAATGTGATAGTCTTTATGATGTCTCTCATATAACTTCACAAAACTTGTCTGGAATTAATATGAAGGAGAAGCTGAAAATTAGTTTTCTTCTGGATATGATTTAATAAGGCAGTTATACTGTTGAAGAAAATTTTAGTACAGTTCTGTTTCTCAAACAAATTTTTTAAAATGTTCCCATGGAGACCAGTACTAATATTTTGTAATAATGTAGGGTGTTCTGATTAGATGCTTTTTAAAAATGTTAATTTAGATCTAAGGTGAACCCTGTGAATCCCAGGATACTCCTTTCCCATCACTCGAAAATGTCCAAATCCAATGGGAAATAGTAATCTAGATTTTCCTTTGTAGATTTTCTTTTGTGTCTTTTGTCTTAGTTGATTCTAAATTAACTATTAAAAGAGAATAAATCCCTTTGTGATTTGCTGGGATGTGTTTCACCTAATGTCATAAAAAGTTTTACTGGAAATGGGTGCTTAACTAGTGGTGTGCTGGTAAGCTGTCTCTCAAAAAAATAAAGCCTTGATTTGTAGTGTTTGCTCAATCCATGTTGTCAGTACTGCTAGCCAGGCTGGTTCTAAACTGTCAGGGCGACATCACTAAACTGGAGCTGGAAAGAAATGTGTACTATTGGGTTATCAGTTGGGGCTTTAACTTGCCATCCCAAATCCAGTTTTTCACCATCATGATAATCATCCTCAAAACCTCTGATTCTCCACGTTGTACTTGACCCTCAAGGGACAGATAACATAAACTTTGGGTCTGCCCTTTATTAGGACGTACTCAAGGACATTTAGAAATGTTTACTAAAAGGTACCTTATGCTAAGAGCCCAATGAGAATGATTTGTGAGAGTTTAGAAGAGGAAATGACTTCCAATTGGTAGCATCAGGAGAGATTTCACAGAGGAGGAAGAATTTGCACTTGGTTTTGAAGAGTAAGATTCTAACAAATCAGGAAAGGGTTGGGGCAAGCATGGATGCAGTATAGCATAGTGGTTAGTTGCATAAAGTTGCACCATTTAGGATATTGAGGTGTACATGAGTGTCTTTGTATGTGTAGTGAGAAAGAACAGGGCTTCTCATTTCTGAAAGCTTTGCAAGTGTCCAGAATATAAAGAGTTACCAAGTGCTTTTGGAAGGGATAGTAAGAATCTATTTAAACTGCCCAGTGAAGAACAACTACCCTCAGTTAGTGAAAGAAGTAGAGAAGAAAACATAGTTCAAAGTCAGTACCTTATCAGCCTTTACTCTGATGACATATCAAAGAAATTGGTAAGTCTGCAGCAGAATCAGCAATTTGAACTTGAGATACTTCCATCTAGATACCTCCATTTTCCTCTCTCTTAATACTTGAATAACTCTTTAGGACATATGCAAAATTTAGAAGCTGGGCAAACCAGACTCCTTTCTTTTTCTTTTCTTTCTTTCTTTATTTTTTTTTTGAGACAGAGTCTCTCTTTGTCACCCAGGCTGGAGTTCAGTGGCACAATCTTGGCTCACTTCAACCTTCACCTCCCGGGTTCAAGCGATACTCTCGCCTCAGCCTCCTGAGTAGCTGGGATTATAGATGCATGCCACCATGTCCAGCTAATTTTGTATTAGAGACTGGGTTTCATCATGTTGGTCAGGCTGGTCTCAAACTCCTGACTTTGTGATCTGCCCACCTTGGCCTCCCAAAGTGCTGGGATTACAGGCAGGAGCCACCACGCCGGGCTATTAGGTTCTTTTTCAAAATAGTTGCTCTTTAATCAGAATAAGTTAAACTGATATCTAATGGTCAGAGAAAGTGGCATGTATCTTTTGTGGCTTTTACTTAACCATTGAGCACTATGTAATATTCTCCACTGAAAATTAGAGCATCAATAGTATCTAGGTGTTTTCTTTTAAAGGAGAGAAAAATAGTACAATGCACTCAGCAAACATGAAACTAAAGTTTAGACCACAAAATTCTGAATGTACTTACTATAGACGGTAGACTATAGACTGGAAGGATAATATTCATGCCTTTACACTTAGGGGAATACTAAAGCCTCATTTTGGAATTTTTTAAAAAATCTACTTTTTGTTACAGTTTTGGAGCCTTGGAGCTTTTTAGTGCTTTGCCATGACCATCATAAATGCTCACCTTATAACAACTACGCCTTCATTTTATAAATGTATTTTATATATTTACCCTATGTGTTCATAAGGTATATAGTTCTCAAAATGTAGCCTGTTTTCTATTGAGATTTTCTGATATGTAAGAAAAGAATCAGAGAGGGGGAGCAAGTGTTTTCTCGATAAAAGCAGCTGTCCTGTTAGTAATATGAGTGTGGTTTCCTCATCCCTTGCTTCAGATATTCCATTTGTTCTTCTGACCTTCTGGTGACTTTTGAGAGAGCTTTGCTTATAAGAAATGTAAGAAGCCTAGTTTATTGATGAAAAAAGCATTATTATTTTCTATAGATTAAAAATAAATGTTCCAGAAATATGATTTTTACCTAGAATTTTGAAGATTTTTTTCCTTATCAGTTTGTTTATTTTTGTGATAACTCATATCCCCTATTGCCATGACTAGTATTGTTTACACCTGGTAATAGAAAATAAGACAAAAACTTTAAACATGTCTTTATGTATTTTATAGAAGACACACTTACTGAATTTCAGATAGAAACCTCCTTTTCATTCTAAGTTTATAATGTATCTCAAACACGTTTTTTCCTTATAGGGAAGAGCAAGAAGAGATGTCTGCAATTCGAGTGGGTTTTATCACGTATAACAAAGTTCTCCATTTCTTTAATGTGAAGAGTAATTTGGCCCAGCCTCAGATGATGGTAGTGACAGATGTTGGAGAAGTCTTTGTTCCTTTGTTGGATGGTTTCCTTGTCAACTATCAAGAATCCCAATCTGTGATTCATAAGTAAATATCTAGCGTTTTATAATTTAAAAATGAATCAGGTGTCTGTCTTTAGTTGCACTGTGTTTTTATTCAATCATGCATTGTTTTGTCATTAGCAAGGTGGGTTCAAAGCATGGATTATACAACTCTATCATTTATGTTATCCTGTCTTTTTTTTTAATATAGACCAGTATCTAAAAGAAATAATTATTTGAATACTCATATTCAACCCTATCAGTTCTTCCTTTTTTTCTGGAAAGGTATTTTAAGGGAGCTATTTCCTATATGTGGATGAATGTATTCAGTGATGACAGTCACAGCTGAAGATATAGCCACTGTTCCAATAATTTATGGTCTAAGAGATCAGTAATGCAGTGAATAGGAAAAAATATCTACAAAGAGTGATTTTGTAAATGTTCTATTCAAGTCATAGATTTTGGTGCCAAGCCATGCTAAGATATTATTTCCTAAGGATACTTACCTATAGATGTTGGTGTCAAATAAATACCATATATGTTTAGGCTTGAAATGTCAATTATTTATTGCTTAAAGTTTATTAAAATATGCTAAACATTTCAGACCTTTTGCTTACTCATGTCTTATAGTTTGTTGGACCAGATTCCAGACATGTTTGCAGACTCTAATGAAAATGAGACTGTCTTTGCTCCTGTCATCCAGGCTGGCATGGAAGCACTAAAGGTGAGAAGAAGCCACTTCTAATTGCTAGTAAATAAATTTTAAAAACAGAGAGACCAAAAAAAAAAAACAAAGTTTCAGTTATGAAAGAAAATATACTCTTCATTAAAACGTGGGTCACTAGAGGCTATTCTAAACTTCCACTCAACTCTCAGGAGGAAATGGCCAAAACCACAGATTGGTCCCAGCGTTTCCATTCCAGGACTGTTAGCATCTGAGCAACTGATTTTGTCAGGATTTCCAGTTTAACTCCTCCCTCTGGCTTTTGTATGAACTTTATATGGTCTATTTTAAAATTAGTCCAACAATATCAGAACTACCAGATTACCATATCACCCTCCCCAGCCATGGGGTTTTCAAACATGCCAGGCCAAGTCCTTGTGACAGCCAATGACAGAGATGTGAATGCCAATTGCCAAAAGTAGATGAGAGGTTGGCCATGTCTCCAGTTGGGAAGCTGAGCCCAGAATGACTCTGGTCATCCTCATAGTAATGAAGACAGTAAACTGAAGAAGGCATAATGATTAAAAAGCCCTCACTCTAAATCATCATCATGACCTTAACACAAGAGTCAGACCACTTTGACCCTTACAGCTAGTTCCTAAAATTAATTTTAAAATGTTATTATTAAAGTTAAATTTTAATTTTAAAATAAAATGCTTAGTAATAATAATAACAGCAACAACAATATTACAGAACTGAGTTTATGAAATACTTCCCACATAATTTTATATCTGAATGTATAACTTGGTTCTAAGACAGTGATTCTTGCTTGGGTTTTCTTTATCTTCAAGAGTATTTACTTGTGGGATCAAAGATTTTTGTGGATATCACCCAAAAAGTCTCAGAATATATGTTAATTTAACATAAAATTAACAAGAAATATGATATCGTAAAGCAACTTGACGATAAATACAAATAAATACCTTCGATTTCAATTTGTAAGGGTTGTTTTTGTTGTTCTTTTCTCCTCCATTAAGGTATCTAGAAATCCATATGTAAATGTTTCTGTACACAATAAGTAATATATCACCCTACAAGGCTTTCTACTCTAAGAAATTAGGACTGGGAATAATACTATATTCATGGATTTGTATATGAAAAGAAGGAAGAGTAGATATGCATTAGCTAATATTTCATCAATTAAGAGAGCATAGTAAAGTAGAATTGTAAAGCCAAGGCTTCCAGAGGACCTGACCATAGGCTCCCAGCTCAACCCCATATTTCATTTCTAAAAGGGGCAATCTTACAACAGTGGTTTCCACATTGGCAGTCCACAAGAGGCCTAGAGGCTGTTTGGCAGCTTAGAAAGAAAAGCTATATAAAGCAAATTGTGTATGTGCATTCTATGTATTTGAAATTTGATATAATTATGATACATTATTGAAAACCACTATGTTCTTAATAGCCATGTTCTCCAAGGTTGCTCATGCAGTACAATGACCACAGCAATCAGTATATTCCGCTATCAGTTACTTTACTAGAGTCCAGCTCATTTCAGCCAATGTGATGTATCTTCATATGTTTTGCATGTTTTTTGGTCATATTTGTAATTTTATTATAATAATGAATATTTTACCTTGACATTTAAAAATGAGAAGAAACTAATATCTAAATATATAAGAACTCAGGATAAGTTCATAAATACAAAGTTAATAGTATATATTAACTTTGTATTTATGTATAATAGAGTAGTATAATAGTGTTCTTACAAAGTAGAATGAACTATCTTTATAAAAGGTAAATAACTCTTTAAAAATAGATAAGGAACTATCTTGACAAAATGCCACTGTTGGACATAATGTCAACGGCAGTTACTACCATCCCTGCTGGCAAAGTAAACATTGTTCTCCCCAACGTCAGTTTTCATGTGGAGGCTGTGTGATGCTCCACCGCTGTCCCTGCCTCTGGGCTGCTTACAGTATGCTGGAGGAGATGTAACTCTGTAATACAAAACACAATGTTCGTTGGTTATGTTTTTTTAATGGGGGTGGGAGAAGGGCAAAGAGTAACTTTGGAAAGCCCAGGACTGTGGCTGGTCAGCCAAATAGCTCAGGATATTCTGCCCGGAAGACCAGAGATGAGAGTCTCATCCCCTGTGCACAGGGAGTAGAAATGGAAAGAACATAAAGTGAAAGATTTCTTATCGTGTGTCCAAGTGAAAACATTTCAGAATTATACTCCCCTATTTGAATTGTAGCTTTATTTTCTATCAGCTACATGCCACATAAAATCTATATATAATCAGTAGTAGTAAACTTCTTGAAGCAAACAGAGTAGACAAAAACTAACCAAAAAATATGCTAATTTGTCATGAAAATAAACAGCAACTCTTTGGAAAGTTCTTATGTGTACTTTTGAAAAGTCCTTGAAATATCCAGCTACAGGCTTTAGTGTACTACTTTCTGTTGTAAATGCCTCGATGTCCACAGCATCTTGTACTCTTAGCACTTTTTTCCCCACATAGCCTTTAAAAATCTGCATTTATTTCAAAATCTGACCTTCATAACTCAACTACACATGAATTGCTGGCATTGTCTTTTCACTTGGCCAAAGAACAGTTTACTGAGTTAGCTATTGTTTCCACCATAAAATTAGGGGTAATATTTGGCAAAAAAAAAAAAAAAAGAAGAAGAAAATGATCTTTAGTGGTTATGCTTAAAATATATGAGTTGAGGGGGACTTATCTTTAAATTATCCATATAGGTATTTAAATTTGATTGCAGGGGAATGCATCACAAACAATGCTCCTTGAGCAAGGGTCTATGGAGCACCATAGAATGGAAGGTGGTAGTCTCAGTGGGGGTTGGAGAAACACAAAATCAAGGTCCTTCCTTTTCAGGGAGCCCTTGATCTACAGGAGGACATACTAGAATACTTAAAAGTTGTGATACAAATGTCATTAATTCTAGAATAGTCTTTTCTATAAAGAAGAGCAGGTAAAGTCAAGGGTGTTAATAACTTATCTCTCAGAGAAAGGGGTGTCAGATCTGAATTTCAAACTATGAGTTATCCAGGTCAGCCTCTCTCAACCTGTTTTCTGCCATAATAAGAATAATATATACCATTCATTAATTCTGCATGACTCACTCCTATTGGCAAAGTCAGACTTTGGTTAAAACATAAATTTTTGTAGGGAATAAAACATTTAATACATAGGACCTTTATCTTTTATTAATTTGCTACTTCTAAAAGCCTGTATAATGGTGTGCTTATGAAATTATGGATCTAAAATTAACCATTTCATAAGGAAAAAATAAATATTGCCACTTTTTTAATAATACTGACCTTTTTTTCCAGTGGGCCCTGATGTTTTTTCCCTCAGAGTTTTACTATAGGTAATATAATAAAATATAAAAAGACAAAGTATGTTTAATTATGGTTAATACCATGTAGTAGATGATATAATTCTCCCAACAATATTTTGTGTAGTTTAATGTATTGACTTGTCATGAGATAACTGAAAATTAAAGAAGTTAAATAATTTGTCCAGTGTCACTCAAATAAAATGGCTGATTCTGATCATGACAGGTAAGACCCATGTTCTTTACTGCTGTGGTATAAAATGACAATATTAATATGAGTAGAGAATATCTAAATGAATAGATTTTTGGACAGTGAATGCCTTAGGGGAATTGGGTAGGCCAGGCAGGAAAAGCTGGTGAGAAGGTAGACTTTTTATTAAAGCTTTATACTCTCTATGATATTTGAATGCTTTTTAAAAGTATTTTTATAATAATAAAAGCTACAGGGCTGGGCATGGTGGCTCATGCCTATAATCCCAACACTTTGGGAGGCTGATATGAGCAGATTACCTGAGGTCGGGAGTTCAAGACCAGCCTAACCAACATGGAGAAACCGCGTTTCTACTAAAAATACAAAATTAGCCGGGCATGGTGTTGCATACCTGTAATCCAGCTACTCAGGAGGCTGAGGCACAAGAATTGCTTGAAACTGGGAAGTGGAGGTTACTTCCCTAAAGGCTCTCTATCAAAAAAAAAAGAAAATTATAGAAATAATAAATTTACAGTCATAGAATTTCAGGGTTTCAACATGCTTAACATTTTGTAATCGATATTATTGTAAATTTTACTCTGATTTGGTCATTGGAGCTAATGTGTCTTTACTGGCCAAAATCTTGCTAGTCCCTTTCTCCTATTCCGTACACATATACCTATAGATTCATACCTGTTCTTCATTCATCCTTGTGTTCTTGTATTAATAAGAACTGTATCCGTCAGTAATTTTCAGTAGAAGACACATACAACAGTAAGATCACAGAACACAAATTTTTGCTCACTACCGGCCATAGCAGAGACGAGACAGCAGGCCCCAGGTTACACCCCTTCTCAGCATGTCAGCTGTGTCTTCACCTCTCTGACCCACTCCACAGAGATTAGAATGTCAGTCACTGAAGGAGACATTGGGACAGGGCTAACCTTGAATTCTCTCTCTTTGTTTTAAGAGAGCTATTCACAAACCTAAGTACCTTATTATTAGCAGCACTTACTGCACATCTTGCAACTGAGCCAGGCACACTGTGCCTTTGCAAATAACAGCTGCAGGCAGAGAGCTGTAGAAATGCATTCCAGACCAAGGGAACAGAATGTGCATAGATAGGGATGTGTATAAAGCATGTGGTATATCCCAGGAAAGCAAGAAGCTTGTGTGGCTAAAACTTCCAGTGTAAGCAGATGTCAGGGGTAAGGACATGCAGGAAGTAAGACTGGAAAGATAGATGAAGACTCAACTTCAAAGGGCCTTTAAAGTTATTGTTTACTGGTTGTGACCTGGGGCAAATTGAATGAGTCTCAGTTTGCCTATTCTTAAAATGCAAACAGTAATACCTGCTGAACAAGGTTGTAAGAGTTAAAGAAAACATGTGAAGAGCCTGGCACAGAGCTGCATGCAGTAAATGTTGGTAGCAGCTCATCTCAACTGTTTATCACCCTTCCTGCTCCTACCCAGATAAAGGACTGTGGACTTTATCCTGTACTAGAAAACCTTCAGGATTCCTTCCTCCCTTTCTCTTCCTCTGTCCCTCTCTTCGTCTCTCCCTCCCTCCTCCTTCCTCCTTCCTCCTCCCTCCTTCCCTCCTTCCCTCCTTCCTCCTTCCCTCCTTCCCTCCTTCCCTCCTTCCCTCCTTCCTCCTCCCTCCTTCCCTCCTCCTCCCTCCCTCCCTCCCTCCCTCCCTCCCTCCCTCCCTCCCTCCCTCCCTCCCTCCTTCCTTCCTTCCTTCCTTCCTTCCTTCCTTCCTTCCTTCCTTCCTTCCTTCCTTCCATCTGGCTCTGTCACCTAGGCTGGAGTGCAGTGGCATGATCATAGGTCACTGCAGCCTCAAACTCCTAGGCTTAAGCAATCCCTTCACCTCAGCCTCCTTACTAGTGGGTACTACAAGCATGCACCACCATACTCAGCTCATCTTTCAGTTTTTGTAGAGACAAGAGTCTCACTACATTGCCTGGGCTGGTCTCAAACTCCTGGGTTCAAGCAGTCGTCCTGCATTGGCCTCCCAAGGTGTTAGGATTACCAGCATGAGCAATTGTGCTCAGCTCTTCAGGATTCGTAAGGATAAAAGCCACATACCTGATCAGAGCTATTGTTTTCATTTCAGAGGCACTGCTCTGGTGCAGTGTGCACTGTGGTTTGGAGGTTGGTGGGGTTGGTAGGACAATATTGAATCATACTTAATTCCAGGAAATTCTGCTTAGTAGGTTACTTCTTAGCATGTTAAATAAGATTTTAAGTCTTGATTCTTAATGCTGACTTGACTGTCATGGAGCTTGACTCTTCTTTTTGTTGCTTCCCAGAGACTACAGATATATAATCTTGATCCCATACTTTTCCTCTTGGCATCATGCCTCATAGCTCTTAGTTCCTGGTGTCTACTGTTGCCAATGACCACTACGTTCTTATGTGTTCTTCCTCAAAATACCACTGTAGCTTTAATCCATGTTTACTAAAGATCTGAAATAAGAGCTTATTTTGCATCATCATCCTGGGAATTCTACCATCTACTTTACATTATGAGATCGCCTGGTCTGGGAGGCTATACTGTAGGCTAAATAAGAAAGTGTTTTCATCATAACATTATTTTAGTAGTTTTTTTTTTTTTTTTTTTTTAAGTGTAATGATACGTAGACCTAGCTTTAAATGTTGGCTCTCTTTCATTTACAACTTTTATGACTTTTGGCCTATCCTCTCTCAGCCTCAGTTTTCTAATCTGTAAAATAGAATAGTACCTCCCCAGGGGACACAAAGGTTATTATGAGGATTAAATTAAATGAATATAGTTCTTAGCTCATAGAAAGAACCTATATTTTATTTTCTGATTCTCTTAAAATGTTCCTACTCAAGGCATTTTCTGTGGGTTTTGGGTTTTTTTTTTTTTAGGCAGCAGACTGTCCTGGGAAGCTGTTCATCTTCCATTCTTCCTTGCCAACTGCTGAAGCACCAGGAAAGCTCAAAAACAGAGATGATAAAAAACTGGTTAATACAGACAAAGAGAAGGTACTTGTAAACAGTTACTCTTTTAGTATCTATATGTCAGTTATTAAGAGGAGTTAAAGAGGCAATGTGTTCTTAGTGTAAGAAAAGGGGAGAAACTAAGTCACATAAATTAAGATAAATTAAGTCAAGGGCATTGCATATTATAGGAATATTTTGGATTACAAACAGCTTAAAATATTTTATATTCCTAGCAAAACCGATTTCTGAAATATGTATATTAAAATAAGGGCCCAGGCTAGGCATGGTGGCTCATGCCTGTAATCTCAGCACTCTGGGAGGCCAAGGTAGGTGGATCACTTGAAGTCAGGAGTTCAGTCTGGCCAACATGGTGAAACCCCATCTCTACTAAAAATACAAAAATTAGCTAGGCGTGGGAGCTACTTGGGAGGCTGAGGCAGAAGAATTGCTTGAACCCAAGAAGTAGATGTTGCATCACGCCACTGCACTGCAGCCTGGGCAGCAGATTTGAGACTCCATCTAAAAAAAAAAGGTGGAACGGTGGGGAGGTGTCCCAAACTTTTTCATGCATAATCAGCATAAGAGAGGCTGAATGATAAGACTATTATAGAAATGGAGGAAGTGGGGGAAAAACAGCAGATTGAAAGGGTAGAGGGCTTTAGACTGTTACATCTAATGATACATAGACTGTACCATCTGACGATACCCCTTGGAGGTAGAGACCTGAGGCATGAAGCACAGGCATGGGGTTCTCAAAATATGCCTGTGCCTAAAACCTCTGACAGTGTAGCAGTGAAGAGAAAGTCCGTGGGATGAATAAGGCTATGGACATAAGGATCCAACTAGTGGTTACACAGCAACTACAGGTTGCTTCATCTAAGTCTGTAAAGTAAGGGCTGCAATATCAGCTTCATTGGGATTGATGGAGTATCAAATAAAATTGAACACAAAATTATTTCACACAGCATGGACCTGGCACAGACTGAGTCCTCAGCAGGTGGCCACTGCGCTGATGATGGCCACAGTGTGTTTCTAAAGCCTAGTTCACTTACCTGGAAAATGTCTATTTTTCCATTTTGAAAATTCAACAAGAATTCAATGGAAATTTAAAATTTAAACCAAAAACATTTTATAATTGTTCTTTTTCCTTTATGCATCTTTCTTCCAGATACTTTTCCAGCCCCAAACAAATGTCTATGACTCATTGGCCAAGGACTGTGTGGCTCACGGCTGCTCTGTGACCCTCTTCCTCTTTCCCAGTCAGTATGTGGATGTGGCCTCACTGGGGCTGGTTCCTCAGCTCACTGGAGGAACCCTTTACAAATACAGCAATTTCCAGGTAAATGCCAGCAATTTGTTCACCTCAGTCTTCCACTCCCATTTTAATTTTGGTGTTTAAATTATAGGTTTAAAAAGCTGTGTTCACTTGTGGGTAGATGACAAATATAAATTCAAGAGCAGATGGAAAACAAAGTATATTGTTGGCCTTTTTTATCAGGAGAGTTCTGCATCTTGGCTTCAACCAAACTTGGATCAAAAATATTCAAAATTAAATATTGTAACATACTGAATATGTACAGACTTTTTTCATTATGTTCTATAGTTATAACAATTATGGACATAACATTCACACTGTATTGGGTATTATAAGTAATGTAAGCTGGGCGCAGTGGCCCAGTGTCTGTAATCTCAGGGCTTTGAGAGGTTGAGGTGGGAGGATCACTTGAGACCAGGACTTCAAAATCAGACTGGGCTGCATAGCAAGACCCTGTCTTGGCAAAAAATTAAAAACTAAGTAATCTAGAGATGACTTAAGGGATATGTAAGATGTGTGTAGGTTATATGCAAATATACCATTTTATGTTAGGGATTTGAGCATCTGGTACATTTTGGTATCTGTGGGAGGTTCTGGAACCAATCCCCCACAGATAATGAGGGACGACTCTGTCTGTCTGTCTGTCTCTCTCTCTCTCTCTCTCTCTCTCTCTCTCTGTGTGTGTGTGTGTGTGTGTGTGTGGTTCAGCAGTTCCATACTTCCTAAGTGTTTGGTGATAGAATGAGCTCATTTATCCTCAGAGTTAAATATCAGTGTGAACTTTTGTAATGGGGAAAAATATATTTTATGTAAAATATACTTGAGATAATACTTTTAAAAGTGACTGCATATTTGTTTTAAATTATTGGGATTTTAGGGATCAATTCATTACACTTCTCTCTTCCAAACCTGAATTGAGACAGATGTTCAAGAGATGATCAAAATATCTGCACTATAATGACCTGAGTCTGTAGGCAAGTGGGTTTGCTAATGATTTACCCCTGAATTTGACAAACTTATACACCCAAGCACAGAGTGGGCACAATTTGAGTTTCTCCTGTGGACCTTGTGCCTTGAAAACACACTGCATTGAGGGACAGAAAATGTATGACTCTTGCAGGCCAGCTGCCTTCCTATGAAGAGGACTCAGAAGAGGCTGAGCTGTGCCCACCCATTCCTTTTCCCAAATTTATTAATCAGATAAGTCATTCCCCCTCTCACCTAATGTGTGTGCCTGGACAGACATGGAGACATGGACTGGGAAGATGTGTTCTCCAACATGAATAACAAATGTTAGTCATCTACTTTTGTTAATCATCAATACTATTCTTAATAGAAACTAGTTACATATTTATATTATAAACTAGTTAAGGGACTTGATAAAACCAATGATTATAAATGAAATAAAATTGAAAAAGCTTTAACAACATTTTCTGAGATGTCTGGATAAAAGTATTTTCAGCCACACTCTAGAAAATAAGCTCTTAATAATCATACAAAATTCTAACCCTTACTCATGCTACACATACTCTGGGTACTGAGGTACATGAAACCTACCATGCTGATGTAGGTTTCATGTACCTCAATGTTAGCTCCTTTTCCAGCTAGGGGGATAAATTTCATCAGAAGCTTTTTCCCCCCACTTTTCCAAAAAGGACTTTATCATCCTCCATTCCTGGCATATGTGAATTGTCCTGGGGTTCTTGCTAGGTCCTTCACTATGTACTGGTGTGATCATCTACATGGTAGTGACTTGGCTTCAAAGAGCAGCCTACTAAGTGATGTGTAGGCAGGGGGTGCTCTGCAGTGTAATCATCCAGGTGTATTACTTTTTTTTCTATTTAAGTTTTTGAGTTATATGCCAACTGTATGTAGTTTCTGATATAATAAAAGATATTTACTTGTACCTCAACATATCCATAATTATTATTGATTCCTTCAATGTTACTAAAAAAGAAATGTGGTTATCATCCAGCAGAGGAAAAACCTCTAAGATGTAAACAGGCAGTAAAATATTTTATAATAAAAGAGTGTTAATGTTGCCTATGCTGTTATTCAGTTATTTGTGTTTACTCTAATTGTTGCAAAACTGAATCCTACCATAGCATTTCTTTTTCATCTTCAACAATACAAATTTTAATAGCCTTT